GTGGCGGCGCTCCCGTCCGAGGGTTCGGATCCCACATACAGACCAGTTCCCGCTCACTGGCTGAGCGAGGCACGGGAGCAACACCAAGGCTTGCAATCCCGTTGCCGGTCCCCGGTCCGGTACGGGGGCGACACTGAGGGTTGCGATCCGTTGCCGGACACGGAAAAAAGACAAAAAAAAAAAAAAAGCTAACTTTTGTTGAATATTTGTTATATGCCAGGCCTTACCTAAGCGTTTCATATGTATTATCTCATTTGATCCTTACAACAACCCTGTAAATACTATTATCATTACTATTTTAAAGATGAGAAAACTGAGACACAGAGAGATTAAATAATGCATACCAGGTCACTCAGCCAAAATTTGAAACCAGGCTGTCTTATATCAGAGCCAGCATTCTTAACCAATACACCATGCGGCCTCTTTCCCAGAAAGCATGCATATCTGTAGGCATACTTGTAATATACCTCCAAAAATATATTAATAATAGTTTCTTCTTGGGAGTGAGGTGACAGGAAGAAAAAAATGTGACTTTTGCTTTGAACTTTCACATGTTTTGTGTTTCTGAGATAACAAGCAAGTACTAATGATATAATTTTTTGTAGATTAGGAGATTTGCTTTATCATATGCCCAGTTTTTATAGATATATTGAGTGGCTGTTTTTGGTCTATTTTCTTTTACTGATCAGCCCCATGCACCATTCTGTTTTGTTTTAACGTCTTCAATTTAAACTTCTTTGTAATGCTTATTACATTAATCCCTCCTCACCAATCTCTGGCCAAACTGTAGGCTACTTCTGCATATTTGCTTTTCTAAATAAACTTCAGCATCACTCTATCAAGTTCTACAATAAAATTACATTGGTATGGGCTTCCAGTCAAGATGGCACAATAGACAGTCCCCAGCATCACTCTCTCCCACTATCAACCAATTTACAACTATTAAAAAGCAACGACAGCCAAGCTGGAGCTACTAGAGCTCAGGGGAAGAGGAGGAGAGACCTACAGAGTTCACAAAGGCCGGAGAAGCCATGATGAGAGAAAGAAAGGATCGCTCCTACCGTTTCGAATCCTAACCGTTTTGAATCCTGGCCTCTTCAAGGCTGGTGCTGGTGAGCGCATGGAACAAGAGCTGGCAAAAGCCACAGCTGTGCCCTTTGTATGAAGTTGCTTGGAGGCAGCAGGAGAGAAGGCCTTGGTGGCCCCCAGGCCAGAAAGACCACTAACAGGGTTCCCGTGGGCCTACATAGGAGCAAGGAGCCACTCAGAGGCCAATGATTCATTGCAAGGGACCAGCTCATGGCCCATCACATGGGAAGTGTTTGGAGTATGGGGGGTGGGGGAGACGGGCCCACCGAAGGAACATTGGGGCACAGCAAGGACAGCTGCTCTGCCCCCAATCAGCATGAGACAACTCAATGGAGACTAGTCAAGAATACAGATCTGTAGGGGTGCAGTTTGCTGAAAAGACTCAGGCCCAGACCAGAGTTTCCAAACAGTCCAGGTGTACTGGACCTCACAAGACCCAGAAGTACATACAAGGTCAATAATTAAAACCTAAGCTGCACAAAAAAGCCTTCCCCAGAGAATCAGCAGCAAAGCAGCAATTTAACTCAACCACCGGGCTCAAGTACTGGTTTCCATAGGAAGTTTCCCCATTTTAGAAGTAACCAAAGGATGGTGCAGCCTCTATGGAAAATGGTATGGAGGTTCCTCAAACAGTTGCAGATAGATCTACCATATGACCCAGCTATCCCACTGCTGGGAATATATCCAAAGGAATGGAAATCATCAAGTCGAAGGTATACCTGTTCCCCAATGTTCATTGCAGCACTCTTCACAATAGCCAAGAGCTGGAATCAGCCCAAATGTCCAT